TTGGGCCCGAATAGAGCGAATGTATGTATGTATAACTCCAACTAGTATGGGATTGCGCGTAGTTGATTGATTTTTTTATCATTTAAGTACGCGGAGATCATTACCTGTCATATTTAGTGTTTTTTTTGGCTATATTGGTAATCAGACTAGTGTTGAAGTATAATGTGGTATGAGGATTGTAAGTTTTTATGAGTCCTGATTAGACTGATGAAGTTCCGGATGTGACTGTAAGTGTCATTTACCTTGCAAAATACTCACTTCGCTAAATCAAACTAAACAGCTGGAAGTTAAAACGTGAATAAATGTGTTTTAGGTAGTTAAGCTCTAGACGTGTCATATGTAGAAAGTATAATGCAAGAGAAAAAACTGTTATTGTTTAACTAATTGACAGGAGCCACTGTTAGAATGCTTTGCGGTATACAGGCAGAGACTGTTTCATTCGATGGCCTTCAGAGTTGTACATGAGTGCTTAATTCTTCCTTTATTTCCAGCTAGAAACACATTTGCCAAGCATTATTCCTATTCTGGGAATGATGTTTGCCTCTTCGAATAATAGACTCTTTGCTACTTTAGCCATGATTGCATTGTATTTATTTTTATTATGCTGTTTGGGTCTTGGTTGTCCATTAAAGATGAAACAGTAGTATAAATCTCGTTGTTTCAAGTGAACATTGGACTCAAAGCGGTACTTTTTGGATTCATGGATGATATCTAGCCTGATACGAATAACCTGGTCCATCTATAAAACACTGCTGATACTGTTTGTATTTGTTTTCTTTTACTAAAAAAGGTTCTTGGTGCCAGTTCTTTACCTTAACCATTTGTGTGAATGATTTTATATTCTTTGCTGCTTTGAGTCATAATTAGTGGCAAGATGCTTAATGCTAAATAGCCTATAACTTATGCTTTAAAAGTTTTGACATGTGATGTTCGTTCTTTAATTTGGCAGTCAAAATAGCTTTTCCAGATTATACGTTTTATTAAAGGGGGTTTGGTAGACTAACTGCTTGTGCAGAATGGTATAATTAAGATGTGATTATATGCTTTTGCATCATCAGTATGGTTTACAATTCATGATGTTTTTATCTCCACTTTCAGATGCACATTTTCTGTGACTTGACATTGATATTTTTTACAGGAGTTGGAGGATACTCATATCTATTTGAGCCACTTTGGTGGGTGGGCATGATAACAAGTGAGTTGGCCACTAGTCCTTTTAACCCGCTTTTTTAAAGATTAGAGAGAGTGGAACAAGCCCCCTTTTGCAACAAGCTTGGGGCTGCTGCTTCCCTTTAACTTGCATATTTGTTACAATTAAATGGCATTCTCTGGTTTGGTTCATTTGGGTTCAGTTGACCAAAATCTGGTGGCCCTTGTTGTTTGTTACCCCTCTCTTGGCAATATCTGAAGGAATATGGAATAGTAAAGTCATGACTGTTTTAGATTTGACCTTAATTAATAAAGATGCTTTTGGTCAAACACTCCTTTATGGGGGATCTATGTGGCTGCTCTTTACTTTGTCATCGGCCAAAACTATATACAGATTTATAAGAAGTGCTGCTTATATGCTCATGATATGTACATTAACTAATTGCAAAGTGCAGTTCCCTTCCCGTCTACTTGGTTAATTGCTAACTTAGCTAAGGTTTAGTTAAAAGACTTTCTAACTAAACTAAGAGAGATTTTGCACTCATGTTAAAAAGCATGATTATGTACAGCACCCAAAGGGTGGCCTAGTGGTCAATGAAGTGGGTTGAGAAGGTCTAAGGTTCAAGGCAAAAACACTAGATGATTTCTTTCCATATGTCCAAACCTTGGTGGACAGAGTTACTTGGTATTTGTTGCTGGATGGAGATAGCAGATAGCCTGTGGAATTAGTCGAAATACGTGTAAGTTAGCTCGGAGGCCATGGTTATCAAAATAAAAAGCATGATTATATCCATTCTTAAATAAACACAAGGAGAACTATATTAGAAAGTTAGATTTCATCAGGAGTTCGTTGCACCTTGTTTCTTAGTGTTCTTTATGCTTTATCGTTTAAGATGTAGAGTTGATCTGTGAAACGTTTATTTCTCTCTTCATTTTATCTGGACTTTGTCTAATCCTATCGAAGATAGACTTCTAATGTTTAGCTGCTATTCCCAACAGTGATTGTTGGAGAAGTTGCTAATTTTGCAGCTTATGCATTTGCTCCTGCCATTTTGGTGACTCCTCTTGGTGCTCTGAGTATTATTATAAGGTATTGCATAAAGTTAGTAGCTAGTTCGAATTTGACTTTTATGGTTTTAAGTATTAATGAGGCTGTAAATCCCAGTGCCGTCCTTGCGCGCATTATTTTGCGGGAGAAGCTACATACATTTGGAATTTTAGGTTGTGCTTTATGTGTTGTGGGTTCCATTACAATTGTATTGCATGCTCCACAAGAACGTGAGATTGAATCTGTTACAGAAGTGTGGGATCTTGCTACTGAGCCAGGTAGTTTCCTGCTTCATATGGTTTATGATGTTAGTTGATTCTTTTGTCTTTAATCTAATGTTCTAGAGCTTAAGCACTTTTCAACTTTCCTGCAGCTTTTCTCTTCTATGCTGCTTTGGTGGTAACAACTTCCCTAGTTCTTATATTTCACTATCTTCCGCAATATGGGCAGACGCACATTATGTTTTACATAGGAGTTTGCTCGCTAGTGGGTTCTTTATCGGTATGTGACTGTAACTGTCTGACTTTGTCCTATCTGAATGATATTGCTTTTTTTTTTTTTTCAATTTTCACACATAGCAATTTACTAATTGAAGTTTCAGCTGTGGTATAACAGGTTATGAGTGTCAAAGCAATTGGCATTGCTTTGAAGTTGACATTATCAGGAATGAATCAGTTAATATATCCACAGACTTGGGCATTTACTCTGATTGTCATTGTTTGTATTCTCACCCAAATGAATTACTTAAATAAGGTGAGAGTTGTTCATTCTTTTTATCGCCTTGTTTTTCAGCAAATTTCTTCCTAGTAATTCTGCATGCTTTAGTCTTTACTTGCTCTTGGAGCATAATGTGGGTGAAGAGGGTGGGGTCACACATTATTGGTTCATTGCTGAAATGAATATAAGCAATTAGAATGTTAATCTGCTTCATTTTCATAAAGGAGAATATCGCCTCTCTGCTGTAATTTCATTTCACAGCTCTTTATGATTTCATGACTTATCTAACATTGTATAACATTGTACTTTATTGTTGTTTTCTTAGTCGACGTTGCACTTTATTGTTGTTTGTCTTTTGTAGTATTGGCTCAAAGTTTTGGTGTACTTTTATCTTCCTAGGGAATGTCTTGTTATCTAAGAATGCTGATAATATAGGTTAGGATCATGCTTGCTTTGGATTGAGATCTTACTTCTATGATGAAGCTTGTAGTAAAGGCAAAATATCAAAGGAAAATGAGCAAGTCAATTACTTTTACATGGTAATGTGAGTCAAATCACAAAATTCATTATACGTATTCAGATCAGATTCAGTATGCTTCTACACATGAAGCAACCATCTCTCCCCAAATAAGGGAAAATTGATGCTTTTGATTGTTCACATGCAAAAGATACTTACCCTGTTGCCATTGTGATCTTCCTCACCCCCTTTTTGGTGAATCGTCAATGCAGGCCCTTGACACATTCAATACAGCTGTTGTCTCACCGATATACTATGTCATGTTTACTTCGTTAACTATTTTGGCAAGCGTCATCATGTTCAAGGTAATTTCTCCACTCAGTCTCGGTAATGCTTATGTACCACATTGCAGAATATTAGTGACATATCAAGTTTCTCCTACTTGTCCTGGTTGTTTCTTTATAAATTGATTTTTCTGTTTCGGCCAATCACGATATGAGTCCTATGCCTTTTCCATTTGGGAGTCATCAAGTATGGTTATCTTTTCGAATTTGTTCCCTTTGAGGAATTATAGACCCGGATAAGCATTAAGTTGAACATATCCAATTAGCAAACCATTTAACTTTCTGAGATCTTGGGTGTTGAATGTAGGAGGCCAGTGCAATTTTCTAGTGCTTGAGCAATGTGGTCTGTTTTTTCCCTTTTTTTGTGCTTTTTAAACACCCTAAATTCTTGGGATATGCTACAAATTTTCTGATTCTTCTCGTTGCTTGAGTGAACAGGACTGGGATAGGCAGAATCCAACACAAATTGTTACAGAAATGTGTGGGTTTGTGACTATTCTTTCCGGGACTTTCCTTCTTCACAAAACCAAAGACATGGTGGATGGTACGCTATGCAGTTTTTCTTGTTAGTTTTAAGTTGATATGGTCGTAGAAGTTCCTAACAGTTCAAATATGGAATTCTATTCTATATAGGTCCGCCAACGCTACCTGTGCGACTTCCCAAGCACACCGATGAGGAGGATGGTTTTGGACAAGAAGGTATTCCTTTGAAGCGGCAAGAATCTTTGAGATCATAGTGTGATATTTGTTTTCCTCTTTTTTCCTTTTCCTCTCTTTCTTTTCACCCCGGTCCAGGAAACAATTCTTACCACACCCAAATTCAGCTGCACAATTCCCTCATTTGTTCTTCTCTTTCTTCCAAGAAGAGACCACACACCAATTGTATTCCATTGGACTGATTTTGTCATGTGTAGTGAGAGTAAAAAGGAAGAGCTATTGTATACATCTTTAAGCCATGAAAACAGCACCAGCTATGGACTTGCAATTGTTCTATACTTTATTACAAGCACAAAATCAGTGATGTACTCCAGACCAGAGTGCTAGTGTAGAATCGCATTGTTTCTAGGAAAATGATGTGTGTTTCATCACTTAACTATCTTTACTGTAAGAGATCACAAAAAAGAGAGCAGCTCGACTTTAACATGACAATGCTGACCCTTTAACAGGGTATTGCAATGTACAGGTTAAATACTCATTAGTTTAAAATTGGACCTATTGAACTAGTAGTTAATACAAAAAAAGAAAAAACAGTTAATACAAATGGGCTCGCTCGACTCCAGCATCAAATCTGCCAATAACCAAACTTGCTCCACCTTTTTAATAGGAATGATACATATTTGTGGCAAAAAAATACCAACCTATTCGTAACGAACAAGCAAATGAGTGTTGTTCGGTAAAAGAAATTCAAAAGCACTGGCAGTAAGGCAGTGCGGCAACAGTAACAAGCTGGTCAAAATGCAGTCTATCTACAGGTTTAGTGTGCCACGTGACATCATCACCACAATTTATTAAGTATGACGCAACTTGTGAGGTTCAATAGCTGTGTTCCCTATGACATACCAAAATACATCCATATGTTCGTCCTCAATATCTAAAATCGGATTTCTAATGGATTTAAACATCCAATGAACAAAATTAAAATATGATACGATTACTTTATGCAGCGACCCAGCTTTCTTGACTGCAGTAGAAACATTCAAACAGTACCAAGATGTTTGGTTCTCAGATCTTCTGAAAAGCAACTCACTTTGGCTCCTCTGCTACGGAGAACAACTAGGATATAGTATTATCTGTGGTCTTCTGCCAACTGTAGCCATTGAACTCTATTTTTTCTGTATTTGCTTTAGAAGCCCAGAGACAGAAGCACAATGTGTTGATTTGTATTCACATTGCTCACAACAGTACTTTAGTGCTTCGATCACCTTTACACACCTATTAAAAAGACAAGGGTTAGAACAAATATTCCACATCTGTAATCGGATTAACTTAGTAGCTCCCCAGACCATCATGGAGAACTGTAGCTGACTAAATAAGCATGCACTTACACATTGTTTAAAGAAGTACAAAGGGATGAGAAACTCATAGAAGTATTGCATTAGAGAGGCAGCATGTCCAGATGTATAGTACACGAACAACTATTACAACCACTGCTGTTTCAATTATAATCTATTTGGGGTCAACTATATGGATCCTCAATATCTATTCTGCTCTATTTGGATCGTTTCAGATACTCAAAAATTTGTCTTCTCAACTAGGACACTGGAGGTTCTTTCTACATATGTCCTTTTTTTATTGTTTTTTTGATCGGACTTTCTAAATCCATATGTTATGATATGGCTTTCAAGCTTCCTAGCCTGGGTTTGTGTGAAGCATGAGAACATGGCAAGCTCAATCTTTCACTACTCATGTGACCCCGCCTCATGGCTTTCAGAAGGGCCTAAAGTGCATGATGATTAGATTTCCGAAATATATAAATATAAAGAAAAAGGCCTCCTCTTGCTGTTCTCTTTCTTGCTCTCTCCTATTGACTATTTACATAGCAAAGTCTGGTTCTATTTAGCGTGATACCCGCCTTCTCCTAAGTGGTTTTTGAAAAGGTCTTTAAACAACTTTTTGTATCCAGTTCCAAAAGGTTAAAATGAATGGCTTTTTTCTCTGCCCACCACCACCATATATATATATATATATATATATATATATATATATATATATATATATATATATATATATATA